GGGGCGTCAGAAGCCCAGCCAGGGTGGGGGGGAGTGGCTGTGACTTCTGAAGTGGCTCCCAGCCACCCCCTCCAGGCTTCTGCATAATCACGGGCTCCCAGCGCCAATTGTGGCCCCGCCTCCCAGCCTGGGAATCCCAGCTGGGAGGCAGGGTTGCTATCGCCACTCTGGGCGCCACAGAATGGGGGGCTTATTATCCCGCGTTCCTTTTTTTTTTTTGCTTGACCAAAAAATACTGCGTGTCCAGTATTTTTTGGGAGACCATCTGGCAACCTTACAAGTAGGTGTGTCAACTAGATGATTAACTAACTGATAAGTCTAGGCTTATCGGTTAATCTTGTTGACTACTTGCATTCCCTTCCCCTCTTGCTGCCAATATCAAAATTAGACTAAGAAAATAAATCCAATAGACATTTAAGTTACATTTTAGTTTTTTAGCTTGAACTGTGTATTTCTTTCTTAGCAAGTCTTTAGGTTCAGGGGTTGCAAAAATGTGTGTAACTCTCTTTTAAAATTCAATGTGACCATTAGATCCTAGGGTTGCCAGATGGTTTAACCAAAAATACCGAACACCCCACTCCCACCCACAAAAAAAACACTGGAGAAAAAATTCTGTTGGAGGGGAGGGGATACCGAAGTTGTAGAGCATAAATAAATAAAGCGGCATGGTCCCTTTCAGAGTGCGTGCAGAGTCAGAATAGGGATAGGAACAGGGGAGCAGTTGAGCACTAAAACTAATACATCTGAGACTAGGGTTTTTGATTTCAAAAACGCTAACTTTAATAAATTAAGGAAATTAGTTAGGGAAGTGGATTGGACTAAAGAATTTATAAATCTAAAGGCGGAGGAGGCCTGAGATTATTTTAAATTAAAGTTGTAGAAGTTATCAGAGGCCTGTATCCCAAGAAAGGGGAAAAAAATTATAGGCACGTGTTTTAGACCAAGCTGGATGAGCAAGCATCTCAGAGAGGTGATTAAGAAAAAGCAGAAAGCATATAATGAGTAGAAGATGGGAGGGACCAGCAAAGAAAGCTACCTTATTGAGGTTAGAGCATGTAGGGACAAAGTGAGAGGCTAAAAGTCATGTAGAGCTGCACCTTGCAAAGGGAATTAAAACCAATAGTAAAAGGTTTTAATAGCCATATAAACAGGAAAAAAAAAATGAAGCGGGACCGCTAATCACTGAGGATGGAGTGGAGGTTAAGGATAATATCTAAACAAATACTTTGCTTCAGTCTTTAATGAGGCTAATGAGGAGCTTAGGGATAATGGCAACATAACAAACGGGACTAAGGATATGGAGGTAGATATTACCAGGGCTCGACAATTAGGGTAATCTACTCACCTCTGGCGAGTAGATTTTAGTCTGGCGCGGACGCGCAGCGTGCAATTCCATGCAGCTGGCAAGCGGGGATCACTGTTGCTTGGCAAGCCCTGGATATTACCATATCCGAGGTAAAAGCCAAACTCAAACAGCTTAATGGGAGTAAATCGGGGGGCCCAGATAATCTTCATCCAAGAATATTAAAGGAACTGGCACATGACATTGCAAGTCCATTAGCAAAAATTTTTAAACAATCTCTAAACTCAGGGGCTACGTCTACATTGGCCCCTTTTCCGAAAGGGGCATGCTAATTTGACAGGTCGTAATAGGGAAATCCGCCGGGGATTTAAATATCCCCCGCGGCATTTAAATAAAAATGTCCGCCGCTTTTTTCCGGCTTTTAGGAAAGCCGGAAAAGAGCGTCTACACTGGCCCCGATCCTCCGGAAAAAGTATGTCTACACTAGCCGCCTAGTTCGAACTAGGGAGGCTAATGAGGGCGACCGAAATTGCAAATGAAGTGCGGGATTTAAATATCCCGCGCTTCATTAATATGTTCCTGGTGGGTCGCCATTTTGGAAATTGACTAGTCCAGAATAACTGCCCGCATCTACATGCGGCAGAGAAGGGCGATTCCGAAATAAACCCCTTACTTCGAATTACCAGTTAGACTGAAAAGTTCTAATGAAGTTTAACAGTATAAAGAAGCGGAAGGATTTTGTTAGTTTGACATCTGTAGTATGTAAGATCCTGGAAAAAATTTTGAAGGAGAAAGTAGTTAGAGACATTGAGGCTAATGGCAATTGGGACAAATTACAACATGGTTTTACAAAAGGTAGATCGTGCCAAACCAACCTGATCTCCTTTTTTGAGAAAGTAACAGATTTTTTAGATAAAGGAAATGCAGTGGATCTAATCTACCTCGACTTTAGTAAGGCATTTGATACAGTACCACATGGGGAATTATTGGTTAAATTGGAAAAGATAGGGATTAATATGAAAGTTGAGAGGTGGATAAGCAACTGGTTAAAGGGGAGACTACAGCGGGTCATATTGAAAGGTGAACTGTCAGGTTGGAGGAAGGTTACTAGCGGAGTTCCTCAGGGATCAGTTTTGGGGCCAATTTTATTTAATCTTTTTATTGCTGATCTTGGCACCAAAAGTGGAAGTGTCCTAATAAAATTTGCGGATGACACAAAGTTGGGAGCTATTGCCAATTCAGAAAAGGATCGGGATATCATACAGGAAGATCTGGATGATCTTGTAAATTGGAGTAATAGCAATAGGATGAAATTTAATAGTGAGAAGTGTAAGGTTATGCATTTAGGGATTAATAACAAGAATTTTAATTATAACCTGGGGACACATCAGTTGGAAGTGACAGAAGAGGAGAAGGACCTCGGAGTCCTGGTTGATCACAGGATGACTATGAGCCGCCAATGTGACATGGCCGTGAAAAAGGCTAATACGGTCTTGGGATGCTTTAGGCGAGGTATTTCCAGTAGAGATAAGGAGGTGTTAGTGCCGTTATACATGGCATTGGTGAGACCTCATTTGGAATACTGTGTGTAGTTCTGGTCTCCCATGTTTAAGGAGGATGAATTCAAACTGGAACAGGTACAAAGACGGGCCACTAGAATGATTCGAGGAATGGAAAAGAAGAGGTTACTTACTTCGTAACTGTAGTTCGAGATGTGTTGCTCATGTCCATTCTGATTAGGTGTACGCGTGCTGCGTGCACGGATTCCAGAGCTTTTTTCTCTTAGCAGTATCCATAGGGTCAGCAGGGAGCCCCCTGGAGTGGCACCGGTATACCGGTGCATATATATCCCTGCTGGCCCCTCCACTCCCAGTTCCTTCTCGCTGGCTCCTTCCGACACGGGGAGGCGGGTGGGATGCAGAATGGACATGAGCAACACATCTTGAAGAACTACAGTTACGAGGTAAGTAACCTCTTCTTCTTCGAGTGCTTGCTCATGTCCATTCTAATTAGGTGAATCCCTAGCCGTATCCCCCCCTGGAGGCGGGATCAGAAGGTGACTACCTACCTAGGTATCCTTCCACAGATCTCAAAACTGCCCTCGCAATGGCAGCATCCTCTCTGGCCAGTTGAGTAATCACATAATGTTCCGCAAAGGCATGCACCGACGACCATGGCGCTGCCCTGCAGATTTCCAAGATCGGCACATGAGCTAGGAACGCCGCCGCTGTCGCCTGAGCTCTCATGGAATAAGCCATTATGCGCTGCGGTGACCTACCTGCACCCTCGTAGCATAGCCGAATGCAGGAAGTAATCCACGAGGATATACGCTGCGCCGAGACTGGCAACCCTTTCATTCTTTCTGCCACTGAAATAAACAATTGAGGTGATTTACGAAACCCTCGCGTCCTGTCTATGTAATAAGCCAACACCTTTCTAACATCCAGGCAGTGCAAAGCCTATTCCATGGGTGAGGCGTGTGGCTTGGGGTAAAAAAACAAACAGTAGATAAATATCCTGGGAGAGATGGAAGTGCGAGACAACCTTGGGTAGAAACCCCGGGTGTGGATGCAACCTCACTTTGAGTCAGCGCCCTTAGCTCTGACACCCTTCTGGCTGAGGTAATGGCCACTAGGAAAGCTACCTTCTAAGACAAGTGCTTCAGAGAGCATGATGCCAGAGGCCCGAATGGTAGCATCTTAAGGGCAGTCAGGACCAGGTTAAAGGTCTCAAGGCGGGACCGGCAGGCTCTCATATGGCATCATCCTGTCAATTCCCTTCAGAAACCTTTTAACCATAGGATTAGCAAAGGTGGACCTCTGACTCTCCCCGGGGTGAAAAGCCGCTATAACCGCCAGGTGTACCCTCAGGGAGGCTGTGGCCAGGCCTTGCCCCCGCAGGTGGAGGAGGTACTCCAGAACAGTCGGGACCACTCCTTCATCCGGAGCAAGCGTTCGGCCCCCTAACTATGAGGTAAACCTCTTCCGTTTAGCCTCGTAAAGAGCTCTAGTGGATGGCTTCCTACTTTCCAACAGCACCTCCTGGACTGCTCTGGGGCAGGCTCGCGCCGTAACCGAGAGCCACTAAGGAACCACGCCGCGAGGTGCAGGGATGACAGGCTTAGGTGGAGTGCTACTCCGGCCTCGCAGCTCTGCGTGATTAAGTCTGGCACGAAGGTAGCCTGAGTGGTCTCTCCACGGTTAGATCTAGCAGGGTGGTGAACCAGTGTTGGTGAAGCCACACCACCCAGTTTGGGGCTTCAAAATGAAGGCTTAGTCTGGTGGCCAGGTGGCGGCCCTGCGCCTCTCTCGGAGTCTGACCGAGGACCTCTACAGAGGTCGGGGCGGCTATTGTTGCAGCCCCTATTAGTGCTTTGCCCCCACTGAAAGGGTCTGGGATAGCTTCTAGCCTGGAGGAAACACCTCTGGGGGGCTGGGTTGTGTATCCCTAGTGACTTCAGTGTCGCTCTCAAGTCCTTCAAGCTATGAAGCTTGGAGTCAGTCTGCTCTGAAAACAGGCCTGACCCTTCAAAAGGTAGATCCTGGATAGTGGTCTGCACCTTGGACAGGATGCTGGACACTCGTAGCCACGCACTACGCCTCATGACCACCCCAGTAGCCATAGTGCGGGCAGCTGAATCTGCCACGTCCAGAGCCGCCTGGAGGGACGTATGTGTCACTGCCTTGCCCTCCTCTGTCATGGCCCCGAACTCTTGTCGGGATTCAGGGGGAAGCTGGCTGCCAAATTTTTGCATTGACGCCCACATGTTACAGGCATAATGCCCCAGCATCACTTGCTGGTTTGCTATACATAGCTGAAGGCCTCCCGTGGCATAGGCTTTCCGGCCAAGCAGGTCCAATTTCTTGGGCTCTTTCACCTTTGGGGTGGGGCCCGGAGGCCCTTGACGCTCTTTCTGCCCAGCGGCCTGCACTATCATCGACCCCAGGGCTAGATGGTTGAAAAGATGCTCGTGCCCCGCTTGAGGCACGTAGTACCGCTTCTCCACACCTTTCTGGATCGGCGCAATGGAGGCTGGTGTCTGTCACAGGGTCTTTGACAGCTTGTCCACCATTTTATTCAGTGGGAGCGCCACTCGCCCAGGGCCCGCTGCCGTCAATGTCCACCATATGATCTTGGTCCTCGTGCTGGACTGCTAGGTTAACTGCCAACCTTCAGCGCAGCTCCTGGTGCGCCCTTGCGTCCATTGAAGGGTGCTGAGGTGCGGAGTCCACCAGAGCCTCATCCGGCGATGACGATGAGGACTCTCTCGGCGGGACTACCTCTTCCCCACCGAGCTGCACCTCCGGTTCCCCTCCAACCGAAATGCCCATATGGGCCGAGCCCGGCTGGACTGTGGCCTCCTGCCCTTGGCCGATTACTTGAGGCCTAGGCATTGTCGCCATGGGCGGGCTCTCCTCAGGAGGAGGGGCTCTTAATGGGGTGGTGGATGGGGCGCTACTCCTTTGGGACGACCCAACCACTGACACCATAGGAGGGGGCCCCTGTGCCTGGTGGTAAGCCCAGGGCATCCAGAATGTCCACTGAGGTTGTCCCTGCCACTGCTGCTGATCTGCTGAGTCCCAGTGACCTGAATTAATAGTTGAACGAGACCTATGACGGGATTGGGAACTGTACGATGACCAGGCTGATGTCACCGATTCAGCCTTGGACTCCCACGAATTTGCACCCTTTGCTGCGCTGCCATGGCTGACGGCTTGCCCCCGTGTTCCACACGCAGTGCTGGAGGGGGCATAAGTGAAGGCACTTGCTGCGGCACTATTGTGCCCAGCTGCATTTAGTAGGCCAGTAAATAACCAACCAGTGCCACCATTTGCTGCTGCACCACAGTCTGGTGCGGTCCCGGTGCTCCGATGGCATGAGCTGGGATCAGTGCGGGGCCTTGCATCACCCACGGGCTCGGCTGCGGTGCTGGCCCCTGCACCAGTGCAGTATAGGCCGCCCAGTGCTGGGGCTGTCGGTGCCGCAAACGCACTCGCTCCCGGTGCCGCTGCTGCTGGACAGGGGGCCGGGGTTGAGGCCGGTGTCTGTCCAGGCTCCAGTGCCAGTGCTCTTGCCGGCACCAGGAATTGCTGCTGGTGCTGGACCGAGGCCTGCACCTCGCCCAGAGAGTCCCACGGCCCAGCTGTCAGAGCCAGCAGCGCCAGGCCCTCTCCTTCCTCAAAAGTTTCTGGGGTGGAGGGACGACGGACCTCCCCTATCCCTGCGGCCTGCCCCGGGCTCCTGCCCTTGTCTGGGCTGTGTCTCTTCTTTGAGGCCTTAGAAGACAAGTGCCCCTCCTTAGGGCGCACCTTCTGGGCACTCCTCTCTGTTGAGCGTCCCCTCGAGCCCTAGGAGCCTCTCAGCGCCGGGGACTGCAACCTATGTCTCAGTGCTTTATCGGCCTCTGACCAGTGCTTGGCCAACACGGGTGCCGCTGACGGCGCGCTGCGGATGGAGTGGGGGCCCTCCTCACCTTGGGGCTGCAGTGCCAACTCTATTAATAGGAGTTTCAACCGGGAATCCCTCTCTTTCTTGGTCTGGGGCTTAAAACTCTTACAAAGAGCAGCTTTCTGCTTGATGGGCTTCTCCCAGGCACTCGGGAGTGAGCATCTCCACAGGGCATAGGTTTCAAGCAGGAAGCACAGAGTTTAAAGCCCTGGGGCCCTGGCATGCCCTCCCCTCACTGGGTCCCCTAATTAATTACACTATTTACAGTACTTAACAGCTGCTTAACTAGATAAAACCACAAATTTAACTATAGTACAACAGATAAAGGAAATACAATTGCTAAGAGACAGGCTAATAGCCTGAAAGCATGCTCCAGCTACCTTCATGGGCAGTAAAAAGGAACTGAGGGGGTAGAGGGGCCAGCCAGGGTATATATGCACCGGTATACCAGCGCCACTCCAGGGGGCTCCCTGCTGGCCCTATGGATACTGCTAAGGGAAAAAAGCTCCAGAATCCATGCACGTGGCGCACGTACACCTAATCAGAATGAACATGAGCAAGCACTAGAAGAAGAACCTGTCTTATGAAAGGAGACTCAAGGAAAGAACGGTTACTTACCTGTAACTGTTGTTCTTCGAGATGTGTTGCTCGTGTCCATTCGAAGTAGGTGTGTGCGCCGCGTGCACCACGTCTTCTGGAGCATTTTCCCTAGCGGTACCCGTAGCGCCGGCGGGGTGCCCCCTGGAGTGGCGCCCCCTGGAGTGGCGCCGCCATGGCGGGGCATAAGTACCCCCGCCGGCGCCGCCCCACCTCACTGCCTTTTTGC